AGCGGAGCGGGCAGTGGTGGGCAGGTGGCCCCACTTCTTCCTCCATGCTGGCCGGAGTCCTGCTGCCTTCTTGCTGTAAATCCCTGGCCGGCGGGGCAACAGGAGCATGGGGTCTTGGCCTGCAGGTTGTGCAGAGCCAATTATATTTATTTACATTAAATCCTATGGGGAAATGGGTTTTACTTAACACTATTTTGCTTAGCACTCATTTTTTCTGGAACCAATTAGGACCGCTAAGCAGGAGTTGCCTGTATTCGGGAGTCAGTTGTGGGGGGGACGGGAGGGGAGGGCGTAGTTTTCCAAAGATTCTTGCCCTATGTCCAGATGATGAAGATGTGATCAACATACCTTATGTATATACCAGCTGAATGAGAGGGCAGCTTTTGAGGAAGCAGATTGTCATAAATATATTGGCACATTCTGGGGCCATTGATTTGTAGGTATGAGAAGTCTTCCAATATGAAACAGTTGTGTGAGGGCAAAACTAGAGAGTGTGATGGAAAGAGAATATAAATACATAAATCACTGTACATAAGAAATATCTGACTAACAAAAATCCAAAAAAAGTACCAGTAACAGTTTGGGATATGTAAGAGTGCTGGATTCCTGGTTATATAAACAGGCAAGAAGCATCCCATTAAATGGGTTTATTTTTAAGGGGAGATTTGAAGAAAGAGAAATATGAGGCAGTTGTTAGGGCCTGGATGGGACCATGCTAGAAAAGAAGCAGAGAAATGTACAAGAGGACTAGCATAGGAGGTAGAACAGGATACCCATGGATTTGAGAGAACAACTTTAGGAAAGGTAATACATAAATAAGAATGAGTATCTCTAAATTCTGTTGTATGCCAATGCAAGGCAGTCCTACTATGGTAAACAGTTTCAGGAGAAGATGTGCTAAGCTTAGAGTGGGAAGAACAGAGGAAGACAAGTTTAGGCTTTGCATTCAGGAAACATTGTTTTTGCAAGTTAATTTAATATGATTTTATCTTTGGCTGCAATTACATGGGATGAAAGAAAATCTACTGCTCTATTCTTGTTCTGTACATACAAGACAGTATTAGAAATTCAGGTTGGGGTAAAGCTACATATTGCGTATACTGACAGTGCCATGCTATGGCAGCAGATATTGAACCATTTCAGTGAAGCATCCCAATGTAAGAAAGCACTTGGGTCACAGTTAAGGCAATAGGATATATAAGCATGCTTAATTTTAAATATGTTCCTAAATATTTTTCTGGATTGGGTCTGAGTTAATAGTCACCCACTGATGAGAGAACCGTTAACATTATTTCTGCGAAAACTAAATGTTTTTTGGTAGCTTACAAAATAAAGCATCTGGCAAAGTAGCCTGGCACTTGTGAAAATATATGCTTTTCTGAACCACTTAGTCTTTAAGGCTGTGTCCATACGTGGTGTGGATGTTTGGTTCGCTGGGGACAACTAGCAGCTGTGCACATTGTAGTGCACCATGCTGCTCATGTGTGTTCTGCTTCGCTTTTTTTCTCCCTGCGGTTTTTGTTGTTGTTGTTGACCCCTGGATATCCAGGGGTCAGAAAACCCCCTCCATGCTGCTCCCTTGCAGCACAAAGAACAACTGAATGTGCAGTATGTGGCGCCACAGACATGTCTGTGGCGCCACAGACTGCATGGCCACACTCATCTGGAAGTGGCCTAAGGTGCCACCTTGCTGTAACTTAAACTAACATGGGTAACTGTCTCTTTCAAAATCTTTGATAGTGATTCTTGATATTTGTTGTTCTGTTTGTGAGGGATGGTTTCATTTAACCTGCCATAGCTCTTCTTGTTCTGAATTCATTTCCATATAGGCTTTTAAATTTTAACAGTAAACAAAGAGATGTGCTGATCCTGATCTTATGTGATTAAGTATATTTTGAGATTATAATTGGACATTAGTTGGATTGCAGAAGCTGCAGGGAAGAGTTTTTTTACAACCTTAAACATATTGGGAATGTGTAAAATAATTCCTCATGCATTAATATTTTTGGAACATATGGAAGTCTTGTTTTGTTTCCGGTTACCTTTTTGATATGTAACCCTTTGTTTTCCTTTACTGGTTGTCTGTTTTAGTATGTCATTATTAATTTGGTGGGATCTTCACACCATAGGTTCAGTACTGCTAGCTTAGCTCCTTTTTTCTGAATTTGCTAGTAGCCTGTTTTAGTTATGCCTTTTTGAACACTTGCTCTTCAGAATGAATAGATAACTGACCTCTTCTGTGTTAAGTTTACTGAGAAAGTAGCTAGCTTCTTGAGACTGCCATTTGATTTTTCTCAGCATGCAATATGATGATTCTATCCAACACACTTGCACCATTTTTGAAAGGGCACAGTCTATTTGACTTGTACATCTTCACACCATATGTTGGTGTTTTCAGAATTGACTGAAACTTTTTTTATCTCTGTAAATAAATAAGACCTGATCTTAAAATAGAAAGAAATCTATATTGAATTGTAGCTCCCAATTTTCTGTGCTTGGGTAAGCTACGTTGTTTGTGAGCTTTTATAAACTAATGGTACACCCGGTTTTCAGCATGCACCCACATTTCTGTAATCTCAGTTTCATGATTTTGTAGTCCCTATATCAGTTTTTTTCCAAAGAACAAACTGTTTGTTTGGGTTTTTTAAAGAAAAAGTCAAGTAGCTTTTAGGCTGTAATCCAAAAAGGGTTTTAAGTGTAGTGATGCTCAGTGTTTCTGCACCTAAATTCCATGTACTATAGATGGGAAGAATTAGGCATCTAAAGTTTGGGATTCATAACACACAGCACATAAAGAAGTGAAGATGCTTAAACCAGAAAATAGGAAATGCTAAAGAAGGTTTGTTTCTGAAATCTCAGTTATGTCCCAGGCCTTGCTTGGGGATGTAGATGGGCATCTATGTGAGGGTGGGATTCACAACTTGAAACCCAGGCATACATTTAGCAAACTAAATTGTCCCTGCATATACAGACGACTGACTTACTTTTTCTTTTGGTACTATTAGTGGTGGTGGTGCCTGCCTTTTGAATGTTAGTATAGTGTTTAGCTTGCTTATTTAGGAAGCCGATGACCTAGTTTTAAGGTTCAAGCCCACACATCCCATTTATAAGATAGGTACCTTAACCACCAGATTAGGGGCTAGGCTAGCTGAGGACACCTTTCGTCTCCCCTCTCCACATTGAAACTGAACAGTTCAGGAAGGAATACAAGATTCACTGGGCTAGAAAGAAAGCAGTCCAGATGGAATCTGACTCTGTTAGCCTAGTGATGAGGATAGTCCCTTGGGGAAAAGGAGTTTTGGGTTCGCCTCTGTTTCTCATGCAATATATGTTTTTATCCAATGACTCTTTAATGTAACATGTCTAAAGCACTTAGCTGTTGTATGTGAAATCTTGTGCCTTTCTCAGGGGATGAGCTGGTCTCTAAGTGCCGCCATGCCCTGCTTTCTGTCTGACTTCAGATTAACAGGGCTAACTACCTCTCTCTACTCACATAGATCAAAAGTGAAGTAAACAAACTGTATAAGTTGTTGGAGATTGATATTGATGGAGTCTTCAAATCCTTGTTACTGCTGAAGAAGAAGAAGTATGCAGCTCTAACTGTGGAACCAGCAGGAGATGGGAAATACGTTACCAAACAGGAACTGAAAGGATTGGATATAGTCCGAAGAGACTGGTGTGATCTTGCAAAAGAATCTGGAAAGTGCGTTTTCCTTCAGTTTAGGCTTGGGTTTTTAGCTCATACTGTAAATCTTGAACAGTCACAAATGTTAAAAGTGATATACAAAAGTACAGCAGTGTTTCTGTAAGGGAGACTACTGGTTGTTAACCAAGAACTGTATTGATTTTAAAGAATTATTGCATCATCAAATTAGTGAACAGTATCAAGTCTATAACAGTTTGTACAAGTATGCTTACACTTTAACAGCATATTTTGCATTTTCTGTGTTGTAGTTAGGAGACTTTACATTTATCACACAATATATGGTCTGCTTGCAGATGTTAAGGACCCCCCCCCAAACCCCCCAATAAAATGCTCTTTACTGGAAGAAGCAGCATGTTTTACTCAGCCGTGTCTGTAGAGATTGGGTGCTTCAGCAGGGCTTTTTTGTGTTTAATCTAATAGCTGATTGAATCAGCTATTAGATAAAAGCACCAAAAAAGCCCCACTGAAGTGCCTGATATATACAGACATTGGGTGAACTGGGCCCAATTAATATATTGTCTCTTACGGGCATGCACGAGGCTCACATGGGATCATGCTGAGTTTAAAGTAAAGCATCGCTTTTTTTTGTTGTTAAAAATCTGCAAGCAGCCTTGATATCACAAAGACCTTTAATGTGGAGCATCTTTGTGGCTAGTTTGTATCATGCTTTAATTTGAACTTGTGGCATGCGGCCAGCATTGGACAGCCTGGTATCCTGGACTTCAAAGTCGCACCATGCAGCCCAGTGTTGGGTTGATGCGCTTGCAGCTGGGACAGTTGGAGACTGGAGAGTTCCCCAGTGCCCAGCTGAACACAGCCTGGTGTGGAATTGGTGTGTATGCAACCTGGATTGGGGAGCTCAGTGGTCCTCACCTCCCTGTGTAGCCAGCTGTACATAGCCCAGGGATTGGGGAGCTCCTCATCCACAGATCCCTGTGCCCTAGTACATATGCAGCCCAGCTGCCTGTTCAGGAAAATGAGTGATGGGAATTTGAGAGATTTTTTTCCCAGATCCCAAGAATCGAATGTACTGCCATGCCAAACTTTGAATGTCTGGCTTGGCAGAATGTGCTGTTTTTGGAATCCAGGATAAAATTCCTCAGATCGCACTGCACAATTAAATTAACATCTACTAGGCCACTGACAGGCATTAAAAAGAAGATGCAAGGGCATCTCATATGTGATCCTAACAGTCACGCATCTGGGCACACACAGACTTCCAAGAGTGGGAGAACTGGACGTGTGTTCAACTAAGGGCATGATGGGAACCAGCCATGAAGTTATTACACGTGTTTTGTGTAATAACTTTTTTGCTTATATCTCTGGTTTTATCACACCATTAATGGAATCAATGTGTAGCCAGGTCACTACTTAAGATGTGATTAACCAGTTAACCACATCTTAAGTGTAACATGTCAGGGATCCTAGGGGCCTCCTTTCCTTATGATTTACATCGTAAGGAAAATGAACTGAGGACTTCCAAGAAATATATATATCCATGTGTATGTAAATGCATGTAGATGTTTGCACATGTGTATATACTCATACATTCTATGCTGTTTTAAAATTTTTCTAGATTTTGTAGACATTAGGGCTGAAAGGGGCCTCATGAGATCATCGGATCCAGCCACCTGCCCAAAGGGCAGGAAGTCAGCTAGGCTCAGATGACCCCAGCAAGATAATCATCCAAATGCTTCTTGAACATGTCCAGAGTAGGTGCTTGCACCACTTCTGGGGGGAATCTATTCCGGACTCTGGAGACTCGGACAATAAGAAGTTTTTCTTTGTCCAGTCTAAAACAGGCTTGCAGCAGTTTGTGACTTGTCTTCCCTTGGGGTGCTGTGGTGAACAGACGTTCTCCCAGTTCCTGATGCACACCCCTGATATTCTTATAGGCTGCCACCAAGTCTCCCCTGAGCCTACACTTTTCCAAGCTAAAGAGTGGAATGGCTCTTAGCCCTTCCTCATAAGGCCTGCTCTCTTGACCTCTGATCATGCATGTGGCTCTCCTCTGGACTCTCTCAGGCTTCTACGTCCTTCCTAAAGTGTGGAGCCCAGACCTGGATGCGTAACATTTTGACTGACGGTTTTATAGGAGGCAGAATATACTAATTTGCTAGGCAGTTTCTAAACAAAGAGGTTATGGTCCCTGCCCTGAAAAACCTTGTTTAATAATTCAGATACCTTTTTATTTTTCTCTCAAAAGATGATACATTTTATCAGTACTTGATTATTTGCCGGGGGGGGGAGCATTTTTACTATGCATAATACTGCACAATGCCATTCTTGTTCAACTTATTAGTTCTGAAGGAAGAATACTCTTGATTGGACCAAGAGGTGGTCATCTAGTGGCTGAGTCAATTTGTTTCGTGCAGCCTCTTGAAAAACATTAGTTTAAATAACTTATGTTTCTAAATGTGCCTAGAAATGAATGCTTCTTTATATTTGTAAATATGCACTACACACTTGCTTACTGTTCTTAAAAGACTTGCATTTTCTAAGAAAAGATACATCATAATAGAAGCAAATTTCTCCAAGTTAGGAATGTATTAGTAATTAAAGCTATACAAATGTTTGTCAGTGTTCTTCAGTGACTAACTCTACTGCAGCTGGCAGACCTTCCAGCTATGATTTTCCAGAAATAGGCAGGACTTTTTGCTTGCAGTAACTTCATGTTCTAAATTTCTTTCATCTTATGTACCTGTTGTAGATTAGTAAATGTCAAAACAAGGTTGGGGAATTAAGAGCAGTTTGGTGCTCATTTAAAATGGTTTTAAGGTTAAACAGGAACTTGAATTTTCAGTACATTAATGCATGACTTTAAAAAAGGAGAAGTTTACAATTTTGAGATAAAATTTGTCCTCAGTTTGTTTCTGCATTTTGAAGATAACCTAGAGAGAGCAGGATACATTTAGTGTAGCCTTCTTTTAAAAACTAGGATATCGTTTGTATTTTTAATTTTTTTTAATAAACTCTTTTTGCAGCTATATAATTGGTCAGATTCTTTCCGACCAGCCTCGAGACATAATTGTGGAAAACATTCAAAGAAGGCTAATAGACATAGGAGAAAATGTGACAAATGGCAGAGTCCCAATAAGCCAATTTGAAATCAACAAGGTAAATGGTATTACTGATCAACTGCTGTTCAGTGATTATTTTAACTTTCTTTTTTCTTTTCTAAAAATAGAAACCCTTCTTACGGTTATAGATGCTTTCAGATGTTATAGTTTATAGTTAAACAAATCTCATGCATGGGACAAATTATTTTCATATTTTTCCTGTGATTTTTATCTTTCTTATCAGTAATCCAGAATCAGTGCTGGTACTAGCCCTTGACATAATAACATATCAGAAATTAAATTAAATTAAAATTATTTCATTCCAGTTGCCTTGTTGTCAATTCAGTCCTCAGTTCCATGCTTCTGAACTGGGCAAATTGATGCGATCATTTACCCTTTTTTTCAAGTGTCTTAGGAGGAGGTTAGTGTCTGGGCAAAATCTTTTTTTGGTTTAACAGGGCAACTAAATAGTAAAACAAAATATTTATTAAAACCATTTTTTTGAGAAAATAATTCCTTTATAAATATGTATTCATACTTCACCTTCTGATCATTTTTACTCCAACACGGTCTTTAGTTTTTTACAATTTAATTTTTATCCTCCTTCCTAAAAGCTTTTTCCTTACAGAAACAAGAACCCCAAAATCTTGATGAGGCTAAAATCAAAATCAGGAAGTCACTTCATTCTCATGTTTTGGATTGTTTCCTTTATTATAATCTACTTCTACCTCCTTCTTTTTCACCTGAAACCAGCCCCTCAGACCTAGTTTAGGAATGCATTTCAGACATAGACGTGACTTTATTAAGATTCCTCAAATAATTAATATTGGATAAACAGTAAAAGTGCATAGTATTCCCAGTCATAGCCAGGTGCCGCAATAAAATAAAAGCAAGTGATCCATGATTCAGAGGTTACTATATAGGTAAGAAAGTCCATTGGGATTACTTATGTGCTTAAAGTCGGGCACCTTCTGCTGAATTAAAGTTGTTACATCTGTCTGTGTCTTTAATTTTTTAGCATCCCAAATTCTGGTTTTTGGTTGTTGAACCATGCTTCAGGAGTGCAGTGATGGAATGTGCTTTCTTTAACAGAACTGACAATATTGTATTCCATCCCGTTTCTGAACCCTTTTAGACATGTAAAATAAACCAAAGATTAAAACCTGAAAAAAATGTCCAGAAATCTGGGACTAGTTGTTTTAAAATACAGGGACCAGAGCCAGACAGTCATTAGTCCCCTAGGACTTGCACATGAGAGTGAGCCAGAACTTCCTGCCTTAACTGGGAAGACTTCCTATGGAGTGTTTGGTTTATGGCTTTTTGTGAATCAGCAGTAAAATCCATATCTTTGCTGTTTTCCTTCCAGGAGAAATGTTTTATTGATGAACCTTCTCTTTCTGTAAGCTTCCAAAAGGCAGTGACTTTTTCACTTTATTTATTAACAAATCCAACTTACCAAATAATAGATTTAACATTTAAAGATATTTTTAAGGTATTGGATGTGAAGACAGATACTTTTCTTCTATTAACAGTGCCCCGTTAACCCAAGTCAGTATCCATAGGAGTCTTGTGTTCTTTTCTTCTCTTCCTTTCAGTCTTTCTCGGTTCCTTTACATTTCTATGAATGTTAAGCATTTGTGTTTCTTCATCTCTATATAATGATCCCCCTTACTTTTTTTCTTAGAAATCTGCATAATACGTATCTCGCTATCTTGTGCTCATCTCTGCTTTTACATTTTAAATGTATTCCAAATTTGTTCTTAAGTATTAGTTTTTTAGGAAATTCAAAACATTTCCAACAAATTTCCAAGTAAGCATCTTTTTTCCTTCTCCCCTGGAGAGCACTGACTTAATAGGACAGCTTTTCCACTGCTAAAACTTCCCAAACTTTTTGAAATCAGTAGTGATTTTAAGGGTATCACTTCTCTTCCAGGCTTTGTCATTTGTTAATTCTTGCAGCCCCTAGAAGATTCATTATGACTTCTATGTTGCAGAGTTTTCACAAAGGTTCATTAAGAATACTAAAGAGTTATCTGATAGTTGCATCCTGTTATTTCCCTCACCACATCTCCAACCTTCTTCCAGAACAATTTAATTCTGGAGCCTGTCCACCATATGTAGTAGCCCTCCTAACTGACTGCACTCCCTCTAAAATCTGCCTGTTCCTATATTATACATTTAATTAAGTGGGGTAAGATACTATAAATATAGGATTTAAATATAATTTTTCTTTTATTATCATGCAGATAAATGTGTGAGAACCATTATTCCAAATGGTCTCCCATTGTTCCTGGTGGCCTCCTCAGCACTAATTTCTGATCCAGTGTCGTTGGCTCACTTTGTCATAAACAATGTTTTTTTTTTCTATATGGTTATTTAAAATTGCTTTATATAACACAGAACATAGGCCTGTGTTTCGTAAGTGTCACCAAGATTTTCTCAAATACTATCAAATTTCCACAGATGGAAGTGTATCAGTTGCAGATATTGGAAAAATAGGATTTTAATGTCACCTGCAGTATGTTGTATTACTTCAAAAGAGCTAAATATATTTTCTTTGAGTAGTTGTCCAAAATGTATTATACCAATATGTTCTCAGGTATTAAAGTTTCCTAATTAGTTATTAGTAGTAAATTTGGTTTTATTATGAAAAGGTGCTAAAGATGATGGGTATGAGCTTAATTACTTATATGTATTGTCCCAGTTATGCAATGTTGTTTTCTTAAAGGGGTAATTATTGAATTTGGTCTAGCAGATTTCTTTAGCCATGGTTATATATTAAGTTTGACTGCTGAACAGTAGGTTTGCTCTATCTTTACCAAGTACTTATTGTGAGTTGGTGTTACTTAGTAAACCATATTTCTAAGTTGGCTGGCTTGATAATAATATTTAATGTTTGGAAGCATTAATCTCCCACTAATCTCCCTTGCTGAGGCTTTTCCAGGATAGATTTTTTTGGATCTAAGTTTCTTATTTCTCCAAATAAATTTGTTTATCTTAGTTTACTGCTAATCTAAGAGATTTGCTGGCACTATAGAAATAGAAAACTAATTCAATCTAAAATATGAGTCTTAACTGCTGCAATTCTACCTAACCATGACATTTTATATTTTGACCTATTATCTAATTCCATTCTGATTCTTCAATCAAAGGAATGCAATTATAACTGTAAAAGTCCTGCCATTTTTTAAGTAAGAGTCACCCCTAAGTATTTTAATTAAGTAGTTACCCTTTTATATTTACTGTATAACCATATTTTATTTCTTTCTGTATATCTGGTTGTACCCCAATGTGGGAAGTGACTTTTCTATCCCAGCTTTTCCACAGCATCATTGTCTTTACTGGATTGCTTTCTGGTGCACAAGTTAATGGTGAATAAAGTAGCAATGAAAACTTGCAAGCTTTCATGTTGGTACTAATATAGTCAGCTTTTCTTTATTAAAAGTTATTGTCTGCCTTTTTGTTGAGGACCAACATGTCTACAAATATTGTACTAGCACTTAGTTGTAATTTGAAACAAGAAATTATCTCCTGTTTAATTACTGCATACTCTGGTATTTTATTGCTTTTGAAATATTAAGTGTTAAACACCTTGACAAATTATACTGATAAAATTGCAAATGAGCATGGCAATAATGAATTTTAAAAATGAAATAATTATAGAAATGAAAGGAAAAACATTTAATGGTGAAATTTTAGATGATGTTGAATGTATGAAAATATTCAAAACCTGAAAATATTCAAACCCAAACGTTTTAACACAACTGTTACAAAGTTTATTAGGTATTACTTTTATAGTTAGAATTAGCCTTTGCAGTCACAGACCAGTATTCTTTCAAATTTTGTATTAAATTCAGTTTTTAACAATTTGGTTATTTTTGACTATGCTTGAGTTTTTATTATGTTTTTGTTTTTCAGATAGTAATTTTTAAATCATAGGACGTTCTTACAA